TTATTTATTTATTTGAGAGAGAGAATGAGAGACAGAGAGGGAAGAGGGCAGAGGGAGAAGCAGACCCCCTGCTGAGCAGGGAGCCCGATGCGGGACTCCATCCCGGGACTCCAGAATCATGACCTGAGCCAAAGGCAGTCGCTTAACCAACTGAGCCACCCAGGCGCCCTAGTCTTTGCTTTTAATATAGAATTAAATGAGCATTTAAACCCCATAGTGAAATATTGAACGCATTCTCTATTCTAAGAGAGTTGGAGTACCCCAAACTATGACTCTCTATTTATATGGCAGTACATTACAATTGTCTCTACATAATTCCTGAAATATAGTTTGTTTTCTGGGTAAGTTGTTATTCTTCTTTCATTACCCCAATACTTTGTTTAATGGTACATTCAAATCTAATACAAAAGTCTAGGGTCTAGGGAAACTAGTAGCAATTTCCAGAAACAAATTTTTGTATATTTTAATATATAAAAATAGAAGTACATTATAGAATCTAAATAATTTTTACTTTATTAGAAGTGTAAAGGGGTGCCTGGGCGGCTCAATCTCTTAAGCCTCTGCCTTTGGCTCAGGTCATGATCCCGGAGTCCTGGGATAGAGCCCTGCATCGAGTTCCCTGCTCAGTGGAGAGCCTGCTTCTTCCTCTCCCTCTGCCCCTCCCCCTCACTCGTTTTCTCTCTCTCTCTCTCTCAAATATATAAATAAAATCTTAAAAAAAAAGTTTAAATACCTAGGCTTTAAATAATTTCATGAAGTGTTTATTTTACTGTTATTAAAAGCCAAATAAATTAATGGGAAATATCGCCTTGGTCTTTATGCCTATTTTAACTAAAGGAATTGATTTGAGCTGACCACACTCATACTGTTTTATAAACCAATTAACCAGGCTAGTAAAACAGTGGATTATATTCTTACCATCAAGACCTGGATACTGTGTTAGCTGTACATCTTCTTTTAAGCTAACTAGACAAACTAATTGGTAATCAGAAACTATGAATTTACCTACTGCAAGTACCAGACTTTTTTGTGCCAATTTAAGATATCTTTTACATGTCATAGATTTCTTATGCCTCCCAAATCTATACCTCACACAAAACAAGTTACTACCCTCAGTCTTTCTCTAAATATTTTAAAGTGTGCCATCTTCGGGGCGCCTGGGTGGCTCAGTCGTTGGGCGTCTGCCTTCAGCTCAGGTCATGGTCCCAGGGTCCTGGGATCAGGCCCCGCATCGGGCTCCCTGCTCAGCGGGAAGCCTGCTTCTCCCTTTCCCACTCCCGGTGCTTCTGTTCCCTCTCTCGCTGTGTCTCTCTCTGTCAAATAAATAAATAAAATCTTTAAAAAAAAATAAAATAAAGTGTGCCATCTTCTGTTTGTATTAATCATTACATCATTATACTTCATTTCAATATCATAACATAGCAATTTCCAAGTTTACATAATTTTCCATTTTAATTTGGTTGCTCCCTAGGGTCATACAGAGAAGCATTTTTATTTTATTGTAAAGTCAACTAGTTAGGAAAATTATGGAATTTTTATTTTTTTTAATTTTTTTAATTTTTATTTATTATTTATTTGAGAGAGAGAGAGCATAAGCAGGGGGAGCCACAGACAGAGAGGGAGAAGCAGACTCCCCGCTGAACAGGGAGCCCAACATGGGGCTCAAACCTAGGGGTCTGAGATCATGACCTGAGCTGAAGGCAGACACTTACCCGACTGAGTCCCCCAGCCACCCCAAAATTAGGGAATTTTTACATTGTTGGGAATTTGTTTATCATCTAGGTCTGAAACTATGCATTGCAGTGGTGTCTGAAGGCCATATATCATCATTTAACTGATTTCACATATTGTACTTTCTTGTAAGATTTTGGTTGAAATCAAATGCAGCTTTAAAAAATATATATAACAAAAGACATTTGAAAACTTTTTTATTTTACACATTTGGTAAGTGAGACTCAGGAGTTAAGTGATTTTTTTTTTTAAGTTCACACCACTAGTTAATAACAAAACTGTCATTAGAACTCAGGGTCTTCTGCTTTATTAGTACAGTGTTCCTTCCATTACATCATGCTTAGGCCAAGTGGTTCTCTATGTGTGTTACATAAATTCTGATATCTAGTCTTGAAAAATAGAATAAAATCTTCTGGTTTAATTTCTGTTTTGGGGAGACTATATATAGCACTTTAGCCATGAGATAAGGTCTTTGGTTTTTCTTTCATTTCTATGTTTTGTTTTTTATTCTGACCTACTATACCAGTAGCCTGATAAAGTGATACAATAGGCTATTGAGGACACAGCTCTGGTACCATGTTGTGACAACACTTTGCAGTGCTAGGATGTAGTTTTACATAGTGCAGATAAAGGACATGTGAAATGGGCAGGAGAAATAGAAAATTCAAAATATAAACAGGCCACATGACCTGTAGCAGAAATGAGAACAGAAATCGCTGATACCAGCACTTTGGTTTGTTGGGGTTATCTGGCACTTAACACAAACTTTTTTTTTTTTTTAAGATTATGGTCCATTAATGACCCTGCCTTAATGGAT